CGGATTGCCCCATTTTTCTACAACCGAGCGCTGGAGCTTGGTCGTCTCGAAACAGCGGGAAACGGTGAGCTGCTAGTGCTTACAGGACCTCCGAACTCTGGCAAGTCGGCATTGCTGTCCGAGTTTAAGGAAAGGATGCAGGCAGAGCGCAAGGGATTCCCAATCCTCATCGATATGCGCGCGGGAAAGTTCAACACTGCAGCTAGCTTCAGCAGGGAGCTCAAGGCCAAATCCGCCGTCCCTCTGATATCGCGTGTGGTCAGTGAGGGATTGAAGGCTGCCGTAGGTGTTGAGATTCCTGAAGAGGTAGAGATGGAAACTGGACAAGCTTTGAAGGAGGCTGTCCAACATGTCGAGTCTGCTAGTCCGGACAATATGACGATTCTACTTGAGCGACTGGAAGCCTTGTTCAGCACGGTCAAAGCGTCTTTCACTGGGTTTACGCATGGAGCGGCCGCGGCATTCCCCACACTGATCATAGACGAGGCAAACAGGCTTTACGAGTGGAGCGCTAGTCATGAAGAGCAGGAAAATCTGGCGACGCTTCAAGAGTGGTTGGTGATGATCACGAAGCAGAAGAAGCTGGCAAATGTGGTGTTAGCCAGCTCCGAGGACTCTTTCCGGATATGGATGGGAAACAGGGTAGGGCGAGAGAGGTTTACTGTGGCGGTGGTTGGCGATCTCGGAGACGAAGAGTCATTTGAGTTTTTCATGAGGGGGCTGACGTCGCCGTGGGAGTATTACTGTCCCAGCGTCAAGGATTACGTGTTTCCTCAGGCCTTGTGGGAAGAGATACACGGCTATGTTGGCGGGAGGATGCTACTGCTGGACAGAGTAGCAGCCAAGCTATCTCCACATCTGGCTTGTCTCATGGTTAAAGGTGCAGATATGAAGGAGAGGAGCAAGGAAGTCGAGGCGGAGATGAAGCAGACATGGAATTCCTTCATGGTGTCACTCCGAAGCGCACTCTACAATGAGATGCTGCTAGGCTGCGGCCCACACTCCCTAAGTGCAGAGTGGAAAAGGCCTGGTCCTACTGATGCTGCTCTAGCTGAGACCAAGCCCTTATGGACGAAGGAGGAGTACCTTCAGCTCCTGGGAATGATCACTGCAAGGTCTGGTGTGGTCTCCGAAGATGAGGTCCTGGCAGCGGGAGTGTCGGAGCAAGCTCTCAAGAGCCTCATAATGCACAACTTTGCTCATTACAGGGACATTGGGGAGTGGGGAGGCACGGATCTTGCCTGGTACAAAGGAGGATTTCCTGTTGTTATGGCAATGTCCATGCCGTACTTTCATGCTATGAAGGACGTTTTAGCGCGGCATGGACTTTGAATGGCAACGTGAGTTATTAGGGTTGTGTAATCCAGGCTATAGTTTACCAAACCTTACAAGGCCATTGACAATAAAAGAAAATCACTCCAGCGCCAGATTTTTTAAACGAGCTCTCGCCCATTGTGCTCGCAATCTTGGCCTCCAATTCAACCGTGGGGAGCTGAAGACGTTACCACCGAGTGTGTCCACAATGGAATCTTCGTCAGCCTCCAATGACTTGTCTGGGGTGTCCAGTGATGTGTGTCTCAATAGGTGCTGACTGATCGGCTCTGGTCTCTCATGGATGCTGTATACCTGGGATTCCGCAGTTCTCCACAACATTGCGAGCTGGGTTCCGGCATTACTATATAAGTGCTGATATTTTTTTGCCTTTAGCTTGTTGTTAAAAGTTTAACTTTGAAATAATCAACATTTTTGCACCATTTGGAGAACAAAGAAAGAAATTCTCGGCATTTCCTTTTTCAACCTTTGGAAAACAGATTTTTCGTTCATTCGTCTATAATACAGAATCCCAAAACCTACGGCCGCTGTCTAGATGTTTATCCATGATCTTGCTAGATTTTTATCCATGATCGAAAGAGGCTGGAATCATGTTGGAGGTCAACTTCGAGGTTGGTTTCCAAGGCCACTTTAGGTGGCACGCTCGAGAGCTTACTCTTGTCCATGGTTGAGAGTGGCGGAAATGGCTCCTCTCATCAAGTGTTCACCCGATCACCAATGTGAGAAGGGCTTCAAGAACAAATGGCAAGTTAGAAAGCTCAAAAAGAATATCAAAGTTAGAAATCAAAACCTCTCAGATAGAGCACCATCTTTCAGAGCTTTTGCTGTCAAGTTCCAAGTCTCTTGAGTATATGAACAACAAGAAGAGAAACTGGAAGAGGCTGGATCACGAGATATAAAAGAAGAGGAAACGATTGATCGATCGATGACCTAACTGACCACCGTCACAAAATTTTAAGATGCTACACATCCGGGTGCTACTAAAGAAGAAGAAAACGCTCCACAAATCAAACCATTGATAGTAAAACGAAGATATTTTTGCTGCTTTGCTTGTGCCAAAGTTTGACTTCTTTGTTTGACCGGTATCGACCGTTGTGAAGAATATTTTTTCAGCATCCGGGTAGGAATGCAATGAACGTGCGCCATAAGCGCTTAATGCATGCCATATGCGCGGCCCCAAGCTATAAGAAGTGACATTGTGCTCGTCGAACAAAATCTGCCTGGTGAGGGAGTTAAGGCTTGAAGAATGCACGATCCTCTAGGATCCTCTAGATCTTTCAAAATGAATCTGTTATGTATGGAATGACAACTATATTTTTAGGAGTGCTGTATGCTGCCTTCAACCTTCAAATAGTGTTGATTTTTCTTCACACTGATTCAAGGTTTTTTATGTGAATCTTTAAACTAACCTCGTTTAGTTGAGTTTTCTTGCAGCCTAGATAGAGTAAGGTGCTTGCAATAAAATTCTTGAGCACCATCTTTTGAACATGCTTTGGTGAAATACAATATGGTTTGGAAAAAGAATAAGTTTTCAATAGTGTACATAGGTTTGACATATGTTTTGAAATTGGAACATATTTTGGTTTGTAAAATAAATTTCATATAATTCTCTGATGCCAATTTTGAAATTTGAACATAATACAGTTTTTAATGTAGCTAACATATAATTCTCAAAAGCACAATTTTGAAACTGAATGTAAATAACATATGATTCTCTTAAGCAAATAACTAAGTTTTACTAAGTTTTATATACTAACAATAGTTTTAGATTGCTTTCGATCATTCCTTAATGATGTAGAATTATATTTGGACTTTCTATAACTGGAAATCCTACTTTTTAAGGATAATGGTGCCATCTTCTGGAAGTAAGAATTGGCCTAGAAAAAAAACAAAGCCAAGATTCTGGAATGCCACCCACTGCTGGCTCTATGCCTAGGCACTGCCAAGCTTTTATTGACAAAAAATAAGAAAAAGGAAGAGACACAGTTAACATCCAAGAGTCACAGTGGTCAACTTGACCTGAGGGAAGCTGGAACATTCCCTCGCTACCAGTCCAGCACAAGCCTTCAATGCAACAATAAAAGTTCAATGGTGCACTCACAGTTGGAGGAGGAGACCATTGTTACAGACAGCTGCAGTTGTCCGTTGAGATCTTCTTAGTGCTCATCATAGACAGTTCTATAAGACACCATTGCAAAAGATAATTCCATTTTCCCACACTTCAAGTACATGTCAAGGAGTGTGTTGGCAACGAAGATGTCGTTGTCCTTGCAGCCCGTGCACGAATTTCCATCCCTCTGTTCAAGGCCCAGACTTTCACCATCTAGTTTCTGCTGCCAACTTCATTGCTTCTTCGTTCGCAGCCAGGTTTGAACAATTCGGCACAGCCCGAGGCTTGCATTTGCTGAAGTAAATCCAGAGCTACGTTGCCTTGGCCATTGTTAGCATATCCCGGGATGAGAACATTCCAAAGAACGAAGTCGGGGCTGTGGACTTTGTTGAAAGCCTTTACGAGCGTTTGCTGTGCTGCTGCACTGGCGTACGTTTCCACCAGCTTGCTGGTCACGAATATGTGGCCTTCAAGGAGACGTGCTTATGTTCTTTCGCCTTTTTTCTTTCTTGTAGCTACAATGCCTGTGAGATGATCGATTCGATGTTTGTTTCGAGATCAAAACTTTGTTAATCTCTCTCTCTCTTTCTCCATCTGGCAAACACTAGTTTTTCCAGGCCTTGACGCTAAGGACAGTGCCAAAGAGCCAATTGCCTGAGTGTGTGGATCAAACACAAGCAGTGGAAAAGCATATCCGGGTGCCAATGATGCTTGCTTGGTTTTCAACCCGAACGGAGATGCTAAGTCAAGGTTTGAGGTTTTACAGTAGCTTTGCACGTATTATTTGGTGTATTAAAACAGCTCTCTAGTCCTGAGGCATCCGCTTTGTGTCTAGATCGTGTTTCTCCGATGACGAAACTTTTTTGCAAGAGTGTGTGATTTCCAGTGAGCTTTCTAGTTTCTAATTGTCACTACCAAAGGAGATTTTTATCAAGTTTGGAAGTAACATTTCTTTTTTGTGATCAAACCACTGGGACTTCTATCGGGGAGGATTGCCTTTGAGTAATTTCTGGAGCTCGATACGGCGTACGTGCTCACGGTCAACATATACACTGGTGCTAAATGCTGGACGAGAGTGCCAAGATACAAACCAGGAGAAGAAGTCGTGGTGCTTCGGTTCGTTGGTTCCTTCTCTCATCTCCTTGGGTTTTCTTTTGCAGTTCATGAGTCTGTGGATCAAGGCAGGATGTGAACAGTATGTTCAAGTCTTGGGTGAGTATTTCGTTTGCATTTGCGCTTTTCTGTGCCTGATGGTCATTCTCGTCAGGCTTGCAGCAGTCACTCGCCTGGCTTCGCCTTGAATGGAGGTAAAATTCACTTTTAAAGATGAGAAAGCCGGCTCTATCGTTTAATTCCGCAGGAAGAACAGAGTTCTTTGGACAAGCCACTGATCTTCCTTGTGTCAAGTCTTTCGCGATGCAGCAATCTCGTAGCTGATCGAGAAGAGGTCTCAACTCGGTTTCACGCCAGAGCCAATGACAGCGGTGAAACCTCAAATCAAACAAATTGTATGTATTGGCGGGAGACTGAGAATTGGAGGGAAATTATAGGGCTTGCGCACACCCCTAGGGTTTTTGCGCATGGAATGGCGGGGGGGTGCGCCTTACGCGCCGGATCGTGCTGCTTCTGGTGCCGAGAGCGATGCATCGCCATCGCTAGGCAAGCGCAAGACTCCGTCGGAACTGCGGGTGAGAATTTGTCCCCCGTTTCTTCTTTCGTGAGATGATGCTAATCGGATCTGTAGCGCGAGCAACTCAAACGTGCCAATAGCCAGGATGCTGGCTCAGCGCAAAGGTACGCAAGCGGCATTTGGATATTTCAAGCGTCATGGATGAGATGCTTTGCTTTTTTGTTTTTTTTTTTGGTTTTTGACAGGCCCGACGCACCAAAGCCGCCGAGGTTTTCTGAGACGCGCGCTTCGGATGTGTGTGCTCCTACCAAGTCTGCTGAAAAGCCCAAGTTTAGCTTGTCCAAATACAAAGTAAGTTCTCGTGTTCTCTTCGATCGCTAGAACTTAAAGAGGATACATTTATATAGGACGAACACTCTACAAAAGGGAAAGAAATTAAGCAGTAAGTGATGATTCTTTTCTTCGTGTTGAGTTTCAAAGTTGAGTTTCTTTCCAGGAATCAAGGAGAGGCATCGACGAGCAATTCAAAGTTCAAGAATGTCGCTGAGCTTTCTTGTAGAATACAGCAACCACAAGCGTCTCCAGCCGTGGACATGGTAGTTTTTGTTTTTCAGTTTCGTGTTTCAACTAACATCTCTTTGAACAGGCGGAAGCTATAAAAGCTCTTGCAGTGATCAAGGCGCCTGAGAAAGTTCCTCGTCCAATTAGCAGGTCTTCATCCGCGCCTGCTGAATTTGACAACCAGAGGACGAAAAAACTTCCAGTATTGCCACTAGATCTCACTCTAAAGCTTACTGCTCGTTTTCTTTCCTGTACATCGTTTCACTGGTGAGCTTTCGGTTGTTATACTTTTCGGGTTTGGTGTTAAGGTTTATGCTTCTGATCACAGGTGCCATAGGTTTGGTGTACAAAATCAGTTTCAAGGGTTGAAGCAGTTTATACAATCTGGTCTAGGCGTAGAAAATCCACACGGTCACAAAGCGTCAGAAGTCGAAAGTGATTTTTGGAAAGGCCTGCATTCCTGGGTTTACCCTCAGCTTTCATTTCCTCCAGAAGTTCTTTCTGCCTTAATGTCACCCGCAGCTCGCGCTGGTATTGTCTTTTTCAGTTTCTGCGAAAGTCAGCTGATTTCTTCCTTTCTTCTTTGGTCTTAGCAGGAAGCTCTTTTTTGGAACAAAGACAACGTGACTGGGAAGATTCGTTTCATTCTCTGTACTATGCATTCCGGAACAAGCTCTGCAACATTTTTTACTGTAAGGTTTCATTTCTGTCCACGTTTTAATCTCCCGTTCGTGCAGTTTGTGGTTCCCAATTTGTAGTAGCATTCTTGTGCGGAAGATCACAGGAGCAAATTTGTGCGTATCTCTCAAGGTCAACTCGTGGACTTCGTGCTCTTCTTCAAAAACAAGTATGTATGCTTATTCTTTAAATATATATCGTGAAACTCACTCAGTTTCTTGACAAGGGTGTAAGCTTTTCAATGCCTTTGTGCAAACTGGACTCAAAACCTGCGTCAGCAGAAGAGCTTCAAGAACTCTCTGCGTTTGAGAAGTTGAATCCTGGGCAGGTAGTTTTGACAAGTTTTGATATGAAACGGGAGGTGACTTTTGCTGAAAAATTAACAGACACGACTGGTGGACTCGATGGCTGCAGTTGACAATAGCGTCCAATCTCTGCTAGCTTTTAACGGAAGCCAAAGCGTCCACCGCCTGTATGATTTCCTGTTGAACTACAGGTATGCTTGCTTATGATGTACGTCACATTGAGGAACTTTCTGCCAGATTTTTTGTGGGAAGCATGACTCGTGCTGATGTACCTGTACTCTATTCCCCAGTTCCCTTTCATAACGCATCGTTGAAAGTCCCCGAGGCAGGTGTTTTTGCATCGACCAGTCCAATGCATCATGTTTATTGACGTGAAAGCTGCAGGTGTGCAGTAAGCAGATGCAGGTCATTGACGGATCTGCCGTGTCCACGAACAACTCGTACAGCCTTGAGATAAAAGCTACGTGCTTGGCACCATGGGTGATTTCCAGGCTGTGTGTTGCCTTGAGGAGGCTCCACAAAGAGACTTTTGAAGTAAGGTAAGTAGTTCCTTTTAGTTATTTTGAGCACCAAACTGAAACAAGATCTGGTTCTTTTAGTTTCACTACAGAGCCACTCAGCGAAGGTCTCAACATCGCGCAGCTTCACGAGGAAGCTGCATGCAACGAGTTGGGCTTCGGTCTGGCTTCAACATTCGCTTCGGGGTCGATCAGACAGATCAAGTGCATAGACGGTTCCTACGTGGCTACAGTAAGCTAGTAAACGCGTAAGAATTCCCTTGCTCTGTTCGCCACGTCTTGTAGCAAGGGTAGTCAGGTGGCTGGCCCTCCAGCATCCACGTGTAGATAACGGTTCTAAAATAGTTTAAAGATCAAGATTTTGCGGAGAAGTTTGTGGCAAGACAGGATGGCCAGGCTTGTAGTAGTGTTCGTCGCGCTGACAATCGCGAGCAGCGCGGTTGCTGCTCCTTCCAGTGGGTTTGAACAGGTTGTACAGCTCTATTCAGCTGAAGGCTCCGAGAGTTGTGGACCCAAGCTCTCAATTGAGACCCCGCATTGCAAGATCGAGGCAAGGAAGAACGGCTACGAGCTCCGCAAGTATCCCGAGGGACAGGTCTGTAACAATTCTTACTTTTTGTTTTTCCTTGACTTGTTCTTCAACTAACAGAACAATTTTTTCTTTCTTTTTCTTACGAATCAGGTGTGGGTGGAGACTCTGGTTGCAAATTCATCCTACTCGGCAGCGGTTTCCGTGGGCTTTTACCGTCTCTTTTACTACATCTCTGGTAAGAATGAGAAAGGCGAGGTCATAGAAATGACTGCCCCGGTTTTGGTTCATCCCTACGAGGAGCGTGGAGGATACAAAGTCTCCTTCTATGCACCAAGCAGGTACTTCAGAACAGTCCAGAGCTTCCGTTTACTGTTGTACTCCTTGGCAGATTTAAGTCTCACAAGGACCTCCCAAAGCCCATGGACAAGAACGTCAAGTTCCTGGTGACAAAAGAACATACTTACGCGGTGTCCGGGCCTTTCGGAGGCTTTCCAACCGAGCCTGACTACGAAAAGAGGCTCAAGGCCTTGAAAGAAGCGCTGGACAAGGACGACGTCGAGTATAACGGCGAGAAAGTCTACTACGCCGGGTACAGCAGTCCTTTCGAGTTTGTCAATCGGAAGCAAGAGGTCCACTTACTCACCAAGTGAGAAAGCGAGCGAGCAAGCCGGCCCATGGGATTCGCAAGAAGCCTGGTAAGTCGCATTCGCTTATCTCTTCTATCCTCGACGAAACGCTCAATGACTTACACGTTTCTTCTCGCATCTCTGCAGGACTGCTACGGTTCTACTTCTCCATCACAAGCTTAATTGGTAGCAGCGCGTACAGGTTCTTTAAAGTTCTTCTCGTTTTGGTTTCCTTGTCCGGTATTTATTCGCGCAATGGTGATGTGAGAGTGGTCTCTCATTGAATGGAGCCATTTCTCCGGGCTGGCCACTCAGCTGTTTGTCTAGCCTATCTTTTTTTCTTAGTTTGTATTTCCTGGAGGATGCTTTTGCTTTTGCTTTTGCCTTTGTTTGCTCTGCCGCGTGAGATCGAGTCCCCCGTCATGAGCTCCTCGCTGTCGGTTCTTTGTCGATGGTGTGTGTATGGAACGTCGTCTTGCAGGCTTCGCTGATCGCTTTGCTTGTTTTGATTGCTTCTTCTGTTGCCACTGACGCTCCTGCTCCTGCTGCTGCTGCTGCTGCTGCGACTGCTCGAAAAACAAAAGAGAAAAACTGAAAAGGAGGTTGGCTTTAAGTTCAGAGCTCTAGCTCAAGAACCAAAAGACCATCTTATCTCTTTTTTTCGCGCGCTCCTCTCGCTCTCTCTGTCTAGTTTTGTTTGCTTGTGGTGCTTTCATCCAGAGGTGCCTGCCATGTTTCACGGATTTGAGACACTCGTGGAGGGAAATCCCACGCAACTTGGTGGTGCAAATACAAAATTTTGCTGGAGCGCTGGGCTGGAACTGGAATAGTCCTTTTTAAAACACTAGTAAATAATAGTCTGGAAGAACATCCATGATCAATCAAGCCACGAAGTACACACGACTGTGCTCTGATTTATATATAGCCACCTTTGGTTATATTAACTCTTTTTGGTTTTGTATCCCCGGTCCAAAGTCAAGGCGCCTTGCGAATCATAGTTGTTGTCAAGATTCCAGATCAATCAAAATCAAACTCTCGATTATTTTGGCTAAGATCTCACTTGTCAAGAGAGCAATAAACTGGATTACGTTGTGACTTGTCTCCTTGAATCACTTCCCAGTCAAAAGGAATTAACAATAACTAATTTATAAAAAGTAATACTTCGTTACTAGAATATTGTCAAAATTAAATAAAAAGTAAAAACTGAAAAAAATTGAATTTGTACCTGGAGCTCTGGTGGACGATGATCTCAAGAACAAATTGTCAGAGGAAGATTAATTAAAAGGCCAAGAAGAAGAAAGAAAGAAAGGAATGAATGTAATGTAGGCGTATTAAGCTTTCTTTCCATAAATGATAACTGTCCTCGTTTACTCCCCCATAGCATAGCTCTCAAAATAACATTCCATACTAGCCATAGCAGCCGTTGCTCAACAATCTCCTCTTCTTTCTTTCTTGCTGTCCAAACAAGAAAGTAGTGAAACTGTAAAGAATCAATCGGGGCGAGCGAGCTCTCAATCAGATCAGCGAGAAAAGAGCAACAATCAAGGAAGAAAAACGAGTCACAGAACAGGGACTTTTGCAAAGGTGAGTGAGTGAGTTCCAATCCTTCCAAGCAAATGGAGGAGTAGAGAGAACTTTGGAGTGTATGTAGAGAATCAATCTCAGTGTAGAGGGAGCTATGGCCGGAGATCACTCTAGAGGTGGGGGCGATAGAGTAGCAGCAGGGACGAGCAAGCAATCTAGCGGTAATACCAACGGCAGCTTTGGAGGATGGCTCCAGAGAGTGCGAAGAACAGGCGAGTATAGCGACGTGCTCGTCCGGTTTGGCGACTCGGCCGAGTTTAATCTCCATCTTCTTCCACTCAAAAACGCTTCCTCATTCTTCCGCGAGCTCCACAACCAAGACCAAGAAGAAGAAGAAGAACAAGGAGGAGAAAGCCACCACCAAGTAGAGCGAGGAGAAGGAGAGATCCTCGATAGCTCTCGCAAGAGTGCAAGGAAGAAGATCCAGCGGGAGAGAGAAGTGGTGGAGCTCGACCTTTTAGGCGGCGCCGCCGCCTTCTCCACGGCGGCGGACTTCTGCTACCTCATCAAGCCGGCCTTCACATTCTCAAACGTAGCGCGAGTCCGATCGGTGGCGGCGGAGCTGGGCATGCCCGACCTGCTCGACTCCGCCAAGCGCTTCCTCTACACCAGCGTCTTCAGCCACTGGCGGTCGTGCGCGGGCTTCCTCCAGCACTACTCGCGATTCGGCGACTCCCCCGTGGACGACTACATCGAGTCGCGCTGCCTGAAAGTCCTGGCCTCGGCGCTCACCAAGGCCTTCGCGGACACCAAGCACGTCTCCGTGCCGCTCCCCCGGAATCTCTCCTCCAAGAGCGCCGGAAGAGGCTTTCTCGAGGGTGGCAGCAAATGCCCGGCCGCGGCATCTGGTGGCGCCGCCGCTTCCTCGGGCTCCTCGACACTCGGATCGTCCGGCTCGCCGTCCACAGCTCCGCCCAAGGCCGCCGCCGCCGCCACCGCCGCCACCACCACCACCACCACTTGGCACTGTTCTTCCTCGCCGTGTAGCTCGCTCACCGAGGTGCTCGTCACCATGGCGTCGCGGTTGCCCGACCTCTACATGGCGCCGCTGGTGGCGACGCTGGTGGAGGCGGACGTGAATCTCAGCCTCAAGTGCCGCCAGGGGAGGAACGTCCGCGCGTGGCTCTCCCACGTCCTGCGCGACGAGTGTGGATCGCTATCGCCGCCCTCGTCCTCCTCCTCGGGCCACCGCGCGCGCTGCTGGATCGTCATCGCCCTCGCCGAGATGCTCCTCCGCCGCTCCTCCTCGCTGGAGCTCTCCTCCCAGTACTGGTGTAGCCTCCTAGAGCACGTCGAGGAGCTCCTGGCGCTCGAGCGAGAGAGACCCTTCTGGAATGCGGGCGTGGGCGATCGATCCAAGCACGTGGGCGTCGAGATCGCGCAACTGGGTTCCCAAATCTGGCCGCGCCTCCGCGGGATCCACTCCCAGCTCGAGCAGCGCATCGGCGCCAGCCTCCACGAGCTGGACGACTACCTCCATAGCTACCGCTTCTCGGCGCCGACGCTACTCTCCCTCGTCACCCATTTCGTGGAGAATCGTTGCGATGGAGGGAGCAAGGAATCGCTGGAGCAGCTCGAGGAGGTAGCGGCGGAGGTGGACGGCTGCCTGTGGATCTTCGCGGAGGAGACCCCGCCCGCGATCACGCCCAAGCACTTCGTGGAGATCTTCTCGGCTTTCCCGGCGCAGTCCCGCGCATCGCACGACTCGCTCTACTCCTCGATTGACCGGATGCTCTCCAAGGCCATGGCGGATCATCGCGAGGACGCCGCGGAGGAGATCCAGGCGCTGTGGCGGCTCGTGGATTGTGACAAGCTGAGCCCGGCAGTGCACGATCGAGCGCTCAACAACCCATCCTTCCTGTGCCAGCCCCACGTCCTGGAGAGGGTGCTGAGGATCCACAGCGAGGAGCTCGCGGCTGGCAACCATGGCGGCGATCGCCAGGACCTCAAGAACATCATGCACAAGGTGATCAAGGCCAGCCTCAAGCTACTCGAGGAGAACTCGCGGCGGTCCAAGGAGATCCTCCAGCTCCAGAACCAATACTCGGCCCTCCTCCACCTCGGCAAGAGCAATCCCGGCACCACCAAGCTCCGCCCGCCATCCTCTCTCGATCCAAGGTCCTCCTCTTCCGCTCCGCGAGAGTTTGATCACGACCAAGAGGAAGTTGACGAAGATCTCCGGGTCGAGGACGAGGACGATCTCTCGCGGCTGCCGTTCAAGAAGAAGCACGATACCGAGGACGAGGAAGACGAGCACGTCGTGGGCCTTGTCCAGGCACCGCAAACACCCATGGTGGAAGCCAGAAGATCTTTGCACTGCCTCACAGTAGGAGAGATCCTTGCTTCCTAGAAGAAAACCATTCGGATTGTAAGCTAGAAAAGGAGAAAACCATTCCTGTTAACCATTGTATCACCTCTCTCGGACCTTCTCGGACTCACTCATCTCGGACTTACGGACTTGGATGGAAAAAGCATCCATTTCAATACGAATTGAAATGCTCTGTTGCTCTTCTGTACACTAGGATGCTTGCTTGCTCTGGACGGAGCTCCAACTTCGGTTGGATCCATCCTAGCTATAAGTGATAGATCATTGCGGCAGCCTCTCTCCCTCCCCCCTCGGTTCACCAGGAGTGTTTATGGCGATGTCGCGGTTGCCTCCTTGGCTTTGCTTTGGTAGTATTCAACGAGGACTTTCCAGCCCCCGGGGCACATGAACCCGTCTGGTGGACTTTCGCCGCTCTTGGCAAAGTTTCTCATCTGCATTTCCAGAAAGCTCGTTAATTTAAAAGGATGCAGAATAAAAAGAGCACAAACCTTGGTGCCAGAGATGAAGACGAAATCCTGAGGTCTCGAAGGATCAAAGAACGCCATTTTGCTCTTCGTTTTGTCATACGCCGCCACCTGAATCCAAAAGAGAAGTGAACAAGATATTAGTTTCCGCAACTCACGAGCACAAAGGAACGTTACCCTGAAAGGAAGGATGTTCAAGCGCTCCAATCCAGGAGCCATGCTGAGAACCAGCTTCCCGTGGTCCGCGTCATACAGATCACGTTTTTCAATGGGGTGTCCCATTCCTGCCGGATCACGGCCAACGATGTAGAAGTTGGCACCCGCGTTGATTCGAGCTTTGGCGTGCCATTGGACTTCCGTTGGCCCGGCGTAATGCATTGGCGAGGGGAAGATTGCCACCACCGTTGTCTCTGGATCCAACACACCTGCTTTGAGAACCTTCACAAAGACAATGACAAATGTAAGAACGTAGAAAACACGCCGCGAAAATAAAAATCAAACCTCGTCGTGCTGCCTCATACGCCACTCGAGAGGAACATCGTCGGCCTTTGTGAAGCCACCAAGAGGATGGAGCAGTAGAATTGGATTCTTATACCCCATCTCCAGCAGCCTCCGTCGCGTGTCCGTCATCAAGAGCGCATGGCCGTTGTGCACCGGATTCCTCAGCTGGAATGCAAACACCGCGTCGGCCTTCCTTCTCGCAAACTCGGCACGCAACTCCATCGGCGAGAGCCTGTAGTGATCCAAGCCATCGTTGTATTTGACGCGCTTGAGAACCTCCAAGTCCCCTCCAATCAACCAGTTACCCGCATTGGTGATGGACTCGTCGACGTAAGGCAAGCCAGGAGCAGTGGTTCCCCAAGTCCTCGCGATTCGCTCCTCCTTGTTATGTTTGTAAATCTCGATGCTGGAAAGAGCAAACTAGAGATTAGTGGAAAAAAGAAAGATAGCGACAAGCTCAATCAGTGAAGCAGCACAAACAAGCAAAAACTTGGACATGGTGGAAATGGACTAAAGAAATGGACAAGCACTTACTTGGAGAGGATAGCCACCATGTCGCCTTGGGGACCAACGAGCGTTACGCTACTGGCGTTCCCAATGCTCTCCTTTTGCTCGTCGTCAATGGCCAGGACGATGGGAATCGACATATTCGCGAGGAGTCCATTGGGCATGCGCAGCGAATTGAAATGCAGCGCCTGCAAGTACTCGGCCTGGCGCATGAACCCCTTGAGCGGGCTCGCCCATCCCTCGCTCACGACATGGATCCACTCCAGATCGATCTGGCCGATCTTCACCTGGACCAAACCCCTGGCCTCGGATTCCTTCTCCGCCGCCTTGGAATCCGGCACCAGCAGATCCACCAGCGCGCCGCCGTCCGGCTCAATCAGTTCCGCCGCCGCCGGCTTGGCGCTGGCGCCGAGAAACGCCCCATTTACCTCGAGAACTCTGTCGATCTCCGCGACCCTGGGCGTAACATCCCTTTCCCGCGGCATCCTGCGATCGCTGGCGGTGAATCTGGCGCTCAATCGAGTGGATTGCTGGAGGCCCGCGAAGAAATGCGATGCCGCCGGAGCTTCCACCCTTTCCTGCCAAGAAATTAGGGCTTGAGAGGGCGCCGAAGGCGACGGACGGTATGGCGCCGCAAACGTGACGTCCCTGCCATACAATGTCGCTAAAGGCGCCATGGCCTCCTCTTAAACCCTAGAAAATCGATCGATCGCGAGCGAGAGGAGAAGAGGAGGAATGTTTCTAGAGCTACACTCGTTCCAAAGTTAATTTATACTGCCCTTTTCCACCATAGCCTTTGAGCCTCTGGTTTTTTTTTTTTTTGCAATAGCAAAATCTAGCCGATTTCCGGGACAGGTACGGAAGACGTTCGTGGCAGCTTCCGAGTGACACGTGGTAGCGATTTGCACTCGTGGCCGGCCCCTGGCCGTCGATGGACGTGACCTTTATTTAGGCCGACGGACAGGATTCCCGCGCTGGTTTCGGACCAGGGGGGACTCACCTCCAACGTTGGAAGCCAATTTTGACTTCTTAGCAAAATTACGACGAATATGCCACTTTTTCATTAGCTTCCCTAAAAGGAATAGTTTTAGAATATGCTACGAAATGGATATGCCGTTTTTCGTTATATGGATCTTCGAATATTCCAGTCTTCTCTTACTCTCAGCTCAAGTCCATGGCACTGGCTTGGCCATGGCCGCCGGACGCCGGAACAGCGATTTGGCGGAACCGCTCTAACTCAAAAGGCCTGGTCTCACACCGCCGCTTCACACACCTCTCGAATCCTCCTCCATCACTGCTGGACGGGCTCGAGGGGATCACCGCCATGGCAGCGGTGGAAGATTCCCTCTTCCTCCTCACGCCCCTCGCCGCCTCCTGCTCCGCCAGCGTCAGTGGAAAGATCTGGCCACTCACGCGGCAAATGCTACTGTACGCATCATACAGGATCCTCTGGTTGCAATTCTTGTCACAGACGTGAGAGCTCCCAGTGGAGAGGCAGCGGTAAAGGTTGGCCCAGACGTGCTCGACCTGGCACGAATGGTTACACCTGTGGTAGCCACCGGTGGTAGCACCAACGCCACCGTTACCATTACCACAGAGGCTCGAGAGATAGACCACATTGGTGCCACCGATTGGCAATCTGCCACCATCAAACTCCATGGTTTTCGAGATTGATCAGCTTTCTTTCACCTTTGGGTTCTTTTTCCGCGAGAATCGATTGATCGATGGTGAGACCGCTGCCTCGTCCCTCCCGAGACCTGCCATCCGACCCGTGACAAGGAAAACCCCCAAGCACCCGCGTCAATCTGGTGAAACTGGAATGAAATATCGAGAAATCCTAGTACAGGCCAGCAATGTGAGAGATTTCTAGACCCCCCCGCATGAGAATCGAGCGAAATTTCGAGGCAGAGCATGGGAAAGAGCGAAATTTCGATGTGAAGAAACCCCCAGTTGGAAGAAGAGCGAATGAGGAGGAAGAGAAGGCGCCATACCTTTCAGGAGAGCGCCGGTTCTCGCCGTAGCCCTGTCGACGCAGGAGAGCGCGAAAAGATGTTAGAACACAAAACCCTGGCGATGGAATTCCTGAGAGAAATGCCGCACCTGGACAGCAGCAGAGATTTGCGCGGCGCTTGCGATGGCACAGCACCTCCGCCCTGGATTTGCCCTGGCGCCTCGACAGCGCCTTGTCGCTCGCTCCGCACTTCCCCGCGCAGCGAAATGCTACAAACAAACAAAAAGGCCTAAATTTTTCCCCTTGTAAGCTTGGCCGTCGATCTCCCTGTAACCAACGGCTGGATTTGCAGGAGTTTGGTGATCGACGACAGTGAAGTTTTCACGTGTTTTGTGTCACTCGAAACGCTGAGAGGCCCACAAAGTCAACAAAGCGGATGAGCGACCGCTCGTCCTGGAGGAAGCGATCGCTCCACAGCATATCCTTGTGCAAGGGAGGGAATATCTCAGAGGTTACAAGTGAGGGTCTCGTGTTAAGATCTATCACGGGAAGTACCAGGTATCGATCCAGGATTGAGTGACCAACTGTTCACACTGGGAGCAAAAGGGATTTTGACAAGATCTAGCTTACTTTAACACCTGTTCACACGAACGTGGCTAAATTATAGCGTATGGTTTCCCATTGCACCCAACGTTGTCGTCTATGCGGGAAATTCCTTTGTGCGAAGTCGTGGAGCCCTAGAATGGGACAGGAGCTGCGATGGCGCGTCTCCGGCGCTTAGGTCTGGCGCCTTGATCCAGGTACGTGAAATTTCGCCCAGCGGCAGAACTTCTTGGATTGGCGCTGATGATTGGAATGTCGATCGGGTGTGGGATGGGGATCATAGCTGCTGCGCATCGGATCAAGCTCTAGTGCAGCCATGCCATCGCTACAGATCGCTCAGGCCCTCCGGCCTAGCTCAAAGAGGTAGGTCTTTTGCCTTTCTTTTGGCTTGTCGACAAGGATGCCACTTACAGGAGAGCGCTAGCGATCACGGCAGCCGTGCTGATTGCCGGAGGAGGTTTTGCTTATGCGAGCTCGGTCTTGGCGCAGAGAAACTCCGCAAGAAAGCTCGTCTCGCAGAATGGAATTATTCCGGAAAGGCCAACCAGTCAGGTCGACGCTAGCATTGAAGCAAATAAATCTACTCGCTCTCGAAAGCCAAGAAAGAGTGGTCTAAAGTCTCTGAAGATACTTCTTGGCATTCTGTCTGCCCAGCTCGGGAATCGTGGGGCGAAGTATCTTGGCTACCTCGTTGCGATTGCGGTATGCGATCACCTTATTCGTTCTGGCTCTTAACAACTTTATTTTATTTTTACGCAGGTGTTGAAGACTACACTCAGTAACCGGCTTGCAAGAGTTCAAGGCTTTCTCTTCCGTGCCGTGTTCCTGAAGAGGGTGCCGCTGTTTATACGTCTTATAACGGAGAATGTTATTCTATGCCTTCTGCAATCAGTGCTTATATCAACGACGAAGTACCTTACTGGCAACTTGTGCCTGCATTTTCGGAAAATCCTTACTGACCGAATTCACCACGACTATTTCCAGGTAGGAAGGGAGATCTTACTGGTGTTGATGTTTCGATAGTTAACTTGGTCTATGTTCTGGCAGAACATGACGTACTACAAGATGTCTCATGTGGATCGCCGTATTTCCAACCCTGAGCAGCGCATTGCCAGTGATATCCCGAGGTTCTGCACTGAACTTTGCGATCTGATACAGGAAAACATCTCTGCCGTATTTGACGGACTTCTGTATACTTGGCGATTGTGCTCTTATGCGAGTCCAAAATATGCATTTGGAATTCTAGTAAGTAACGTACGGTTGAGGCTTTTCGTAAAACTCTTTCTTTCAGGGGTATGTGATCGGCGCAGGTGTTATCACCGGGACTTTGTCACCACCTTTCGGGCGACTCATGTCTACGGAACAACAGCTTGAGGGTGACTACAGGCAACTCCACTCTCGACTAAGAACTCACTCCGAGAGCATTGCTTTTTATGGGGGACAGGAAAGAGAGGCATCGATCATCTCTCAAAGATTCAGATCGCTCTACAAGCACCTGGGCTCTGTCCTTTACACCCAGTGGTGGTTCGGAATGATTCAAGACTTCTTATTGAAGTATTTGGGAGCGACGTTTGGTGTTGTTCTGATCATTGAACCCTTTTTCGCTGGCACACTGAAGCCTGATCATTCGACATGGGGCCGTGCTTTGATGCTTAGCAACATGCGGTATCACACCAGCGTAATTATTTCGCTTTTCCAGTCTATGGGTGTTCTAGCAACAACTCCACGTAGATTATCTCGAATGAGGTACGAGATCTCTTCATATGACCAGTTGGCTGATTTTCCCTTCAGCGGCTATGCGGACCGTATTTACGAGCTTATGTCAATTGCAAGAGATATAAGAGTGGTTGGTGGAAATGCTAAACGCAATAAGGAAACCGGGAGCTATTTTGTTGAGGCCAACTATATCGAGTTTGAGGGAGTAAAGGTAATTCTTAACGTCTCGGAACAATATTCTGAAAGTATGCTTGCAGGTAGTCACACCTACGGGAGCTACTTTGGTCGAGGATTTGACGTTGAAGGTTGAGCCCGGATCTAATCTATTAATTACTGGTATGGCAACATGGTGCCTTTGCATGTCGTCTTTAATGTGCCTTTCGGATCTCAGGCCCGAATGGAAGCGGCAAGAGCTCGCTGTTTAGAGTTCTCGGGGGCCTCTGGCCCTTAGTGTCTGGTCGAATTGCAAAGCCGGGAGTAGGCTCGGGCCTGAACCATGAAATTTTCTATGTTCCTCAACGTCCTTACACATCCATCGGAACTTTGCGTGATCAGCTGATCTATCCTCTTACTCCAGCCGAAGAAACTCAGCCTCTCACTATTGACGGCATGCGCGACCTACTAAAAAACGTACGCTTTCCAGTCTTGGCTTGTATATTTTGCTAATTGTATGTCGTTCAGGTTGATTTGGAATACCTGCTTGATCGTTATCCCTCGAGTCAGGAAGTGAATTGGAGTGATGAACTTTCCCTTGGGGAACAACAGAGGCTTGGAATGGCACGCTTGTTTTATCACAGACCCGCATTCGCTATCTTAGATGAGTGTACGAGCGCTGTCACGACCGACATGGAAGAGCGCTTTTGTGCAGAAGTAAGGGCCATGGGTACCTCATGCGTGACCATATCTCACAGGCCTGCGCTGGTCGCTTTTCATGATACAGTTCTATCTCTTGATGGCGAAGGTGGATGGAATGTACATTACAAGAGGTACTTGCAGTTCATTTCCTTATCATCTTAAACTAACCTTGTCCTTTTAGAAATGCTCCTCCTCTTACCTTGCCGGAGACCACCAAAATGACTGTTGCAGAGGACGTCACTGATCGTAAAAGTGACGCTTTTTATGTTCAGAAACTCTTTTCTGACACGAAGGTAAGAACTGTGTTAAAGTTGAGTTTTCTAACACTTAACATTCAGGATGATCCTACGCAAGATTCGAAACCTCAAGATTCTTACGTTCGTGCAGTTCTTGCAGTTTCTCCTCCACGAAGTTCTGGCATTGTTCCTTCTGTCCCTCGATTGCAAATTGAGCAGCAGAAAATGCCTGCACGAGTGTCCGCGCTTTTGAAAATTTTGGTATGGCATTTCATATGTTCGAACTCGTTTCTGATTTTTTGCGGCTTCTTGAAAAGGTACCAACGCTGTCTGACAAGCAAGGAGCCCAATTGGTTGCGGTTGCGTTATTGGTGGTGGGGCGAACGTGGATTTCTGATCGCATTGCCGACCTTAATGGTAGTGACGCTCACGGTTTCCTTCTTATCGTAGCTTTTGTGACGCAGGAACAAGTGTCAGGCATGTCTTGGAACAGGACAAGTCAGCGTTTATTCGGCTCACTGGTGTCAGCGTGTTACAAAGCGCTGCTTCATCTATCGTAGCACCATCCTTAAGGTCTCTAAGATATATCAACTGATCCTTAAGGTCTCTAAGATATATCAACTGTTAAATTTAATTTTTTGTCTTCAGGTACTTGACAGCAAGACTTTCCATAGGCTGGAGAAGAAGGTTGACAGAGCATATATCGAAACTTTACTTTAGAAACAACGCGTTTTACAAAGTGAGTTCATCGCTTCTTTTTCGAAGTGCTTGTTTTACGCTGATGCGGATCGCCTTTGCGAAGGTCGTTAATCTTTCTCCCTGCACTGACGCGGATCAACGGTTAACGCAAGATACGGAAAAACTTTGCGGGGACGTGGCCGGTCTTGTTACTGGCATGGTAAAACCACTGGTTGACATCGTATGGTAAGTGTCCAGCTGAAAAGCTTTTGTTTATCTGAAAAGCTTTACGACGCCTGCAATTCAGGTTTACATTGCGGATGAAGATGCTTACTGGAAAAAGGGGCGTCGGCATTTTATATGCATACATGCTACTGGGTCTTGGATTTCTTCGTTGCATCACACCTGATTTTGCGGCTTTAACTAGCCAAGAACAGCAATTGGAAGGATCATTCAGGTTATTCACAAACGGTTTCTCTTATATTCCTGACATTGTTATCTACAGATACATGCATTCTCGGCTCTGCAGTCATGCAGAGTCCGTTGCTTTCTTTGGTGGCGGATCAAGAGAAAAGGCGGTAAGTCAGTTGCATTTGCTTTACGTTTTATTTATCGGCTTTCTGCAGGTCATTGAGCAACGATTTAACTCTTTGCTAAGACACGATCGGAAGCTATTGAAAAAGCGGTGGACATTTGGAGTGGCAGATGAGTTTGTCACGAAGCAGCTACCACACATTGTGACATGGGCGTTGAGTTTGCTTTACGCTGTGGAACATACTGGCGATCGATCTTCGACTTCTGTACAAGGTAGGCAGGGTTCGGTGCCTGACATTTTTTAACCTCTTTATCGGCAGGAGAGCTGGCCCATGATTTGCGTTTCCTAGCCTCTGTTGTGTCCCAAAGCTTTCTTGCGTTCGGTGATATATTGGAGCTGTACAGAAAGTTTCTTGAGTTGTCTGGGGGAATTGCCAGAGTATCAGAGTTGGAGGAACTTGTTCGATCTGCACAACACGGTATGTGTTTACACTATTATTTTCATTTTCATATCTAATAGCGAGCACATTTTAGAGGCCAAACCTGCCTGTACATCTTCTACAGATCCTCTAAAACTGATAGAAGAAACTCGAATTTCGTCAAAGTCATTGCTACTCGAAGATAACGACGAGATTATTTTTTCGGACGTGGACATTGTTACTCCGTCGCAGAAGATGCTTGCCAGAAAGCTATCGTTCAGGGTACAACCAGGACAGAGCATGCTGATAACTGGTTAGCCTCGAAGTCCTTTGTTTGTTCATTGCTAACTGCGATGGTGCCAGGACCAAATGGGAGTGGTAAGAGTTCGCTCTTTCGTGTCCTTGGTGGACTGTGGCCGATTGTTAGTGGATGCGTATCGAAGCCTGGGAAGATTGTCACTGACAACACCAGTATTGAAGTAAGCACCGGCTTAAGTCGAGAAATATTTTACGTGCCTCAGCGCCCGTATACGGCCTTGGGAACTCTCCGGGATCAAATCATCTATCCCTTGACGCTCAACGAGGCAATCATCAAAGTTCTCCATGAAGCGAAGAAAGGTACGTCCGTTCCTCGTTTCAGCCTTCGCCATATTGTCTTTGTGTAGGTGATGCAAGTTTGGGAGTGGACCATGTCGATTCCACTAAAGAAGCCACGGAGCTTCTCGATTCAAAGTTGCGGTTTATATTAGAAAACGTCAGGCTCGTGTATTTGTTGCAGAGAGAAGGTGGCTGGAACACTCCCGCTAACTGGGAAGACATGCTGTCGCTGGGAGAACAACAACGCCTTGGAATGGTATTATTGTAACCTGTGTTTCCAGGTTTTCTGACCCGGGATTGCTGACAGGCGCGACTCTTCTTCCATCATCCGAAGTTTGGAATTCTGGACGAATGCACCAAGTAAGCTCTTAAAGTCTTTCCAGCCGTTTTTCTCACCAAGTCCCATGCGATAACAGTGCTACGAGCGTGGATGTGGAGGAAGGCCTCTACAAGCAGGCTCACGCACTGGGCATCACGATCGTCACAATCTCCCAGGTACTTGCCAAGAGTTATCCAGAATAGAGCGCTCTACTAATTCGTCCCTGCCAGCGTCCCGCCCTCATTCCATACCACTCAAACGAGCTCCGCCTGGTCGATGGAGAAGGAAGCTGGGAGCTGCGATCTATTAAATCAACCTGAGCATAGAGCTGTGTAAAAAAGAAAACGAATCGATTCAGGGCAACTCACTGTACACAATACAAGACACTGGAATCCAGAGGTAAATCCTGGAACCTCGGTTTTTTGCTTTTTTTGTTCTTTCTTCTAACTCCTGTTTTAGCAGTAGCAGCGCTCAAAAGCAAGCATCCAGAAGGCAGCAGCAGCACATTGCTGCTAGGCTGCACCAGTAAAACCAGATTATTATTCTTTTCTTCTCCTTTTTTCCTTGGATCTTAGATGGTTCTTAAGCTCTGTGGTTTTTTTAGAAACTTACCATCCTTCCAGGCAGCCAACATTGGATTGATTCTGTGGAGACTGGCCATAAGGCTGATACTGGTGATACATTTGAGGCTGGTGTGGTGGATAGTAAGAAGAAGCTCCTCCACCATAGCTAGCAACAATGAGAGATCCTTGTTGCTGGGTGGGAAAGCCTGGTGGGGGATGGAAATGTGGATGGGAGTGTGGTGAGAGGGGTGGGGGATAACCTGAAAAACAGAGAAAGAATCCTAGAGAGTGGAAGTTGCTCTTTTTTACCTGGTGGAGGGTAGCCTTGATATGGAGGTGGCAAGATTGGAGGAGTCTTGTGTTCCCCATAGTGATGCATCCCACCACCAGTGCTGGAGCCCTCGCCCTGCGCTGGAGGAGGATCTACGTCCGCGAGCCCCAGGATGAGCGACTTGTAAGTAGCCCTAACTTTTGAACGTAGGCATATTCTAATTCCAGCTGATCTAACTGGCTATAAATAGATAATAAATTTTTTATTATTTCAAGATAGTATAATACTCATGATTTATTATTTCACTAATAATATTAACAAGCATTAATCTTTATTAATGGACTTCGTTGTTGACAAAGTGCAAACTTAACAAAATAATTGTTGTTGATCTATTCACACAACCAAGATTGAAAACTAAAAAAAAACAATAGTCTTAAAAGATTTTATATTCACATCCAGGTTTTATACCCATACAAGAGTAAAACATGACAATGCTAACTTGAAGGTAAATTGCTGAGTTCAGCTCCCTGGGCTTGTCCAACTCAAATAAAAAAAAATAGCAAATATTAAAAAAATTATAAACCTTTATTGTAAATATTGTAAAATAGTAGTGGAGTAGGCTAAAGAGCAATCCCAAAAAATAATCTTGTAATTACTATTGAAAAAGCTGAGGAAGTCATTTCTCTTTCATAAATGATATTAAAAAACAGGGTGACAAATACAAGGACTACATGAGAAAATTTTATTAATAGTTAAAAAATAATTTAACTATTTACATAAGTAATTAAGACTTTTTAAACATTGTATTTAGTAAACTAAATTTTATCTAATAAAAAGAATTAAAATAAAATCTCTATTAAATATTACAAAACAAAAAACGTTCTCAAACCTTAGCTAGATATACTGGCTAACCAATTTTTTTTTCTTATAATGTAAATTTCAATTACATTTGATATTATTTCTTGAAAATTTAAATGACAATATATTTAATTAATTAATTAGACATGACTAAAGACTATTAGAATACAAAAACTAATAATTTTCAATTACAATGCATATTAAAATAAATGAGATATATGCAGTGTCCTTGAAGATACCCATGGAGCATCATCATTACCGAGGTTTGAAACCCTAAATTCCTTACCAACCTCTAGATTATTACATTATATATTTTTATCTTTTTCTACATAACAGTAAAAGTTAAATATTTAAAAACCAATCACAGCTTTACAACCTTAATAAATTTAAGAATTGTTTTTTCATAATGTAATAAAAATATTTAAATTTTATAAAAAATTTAAATAACTTAATATAAAAATATTAAAGATATAGTGGTACTCTTTGTTATATTAATAAATTTATAAATATTATATAAAAGTTATTACCATTATATTGGAATACAACCAAATATAGTCAATTACAATAATATTCAATATCAATTTAATATCCAATTTGAAAACACTTTATGTTATATATATTTTATTTTATTCAACTATCACAATAAAGAATCTGTTAATGAAAAGAAAAGATATTTTTTAAAATTAATTATCCTTTTCTACTTCTGGAGCAAGTATATTAATTATATAAATATTTAAAATATCATAACAAAATAATAATAACATCAATTTCTATGACATCCAAGTATATAGCTATGATATCATATACTAATATTAATATAGTGCAATTTTTATAGTCGTCAAATTAGTTTTTTTATGGACCTCTTGTTATTATATTTATAAGCTTGGGTTTTTTTTCTAATTAATATACACATTTTTATATTCTATTTTATTCCATACACTCAAATTAGTGGAGGTGTAAGGTACCTTTGATTGTCTCTAATGAGTGCTTGGATTTGAGCTTTTGGTTTAGATTTAGTTTTTGCATTTTATAGATCTCATTTTCTTTATAGCTTTTTTTTTTTTTAAAAAAAATTCTTTTTTTTCCTTTTATTCATCTTCATGGCAGAGCAGAAGCCTCCTCTTCCTTTGACTCTAGATTAATAATTTGTGTAGTCGTGGAGTAGATTCTTTCAAATAATGGTCTTGTATTTATAGCTGAGGTGTTTTATGTTTTAACGTGTTGGTTGGGGATACACCACACTCTCATGAGTTTTTATCATCCACAATCAGATAGTTTAGTGGAATAACTTGTTTAGATTTTCAATGGAATGATTGCAAAGTATATAAATTTTTAGCATTCGGATTGAGATAGTTATTTATAGTCTTTTCGGTATGTGTATATCACAAGAGTGCAAAGTTTTATTGGTGCTTCACTATATAAACTCTTATATAGTTATAATCCAATACTACCAATGGAGTTGGGTTTACCTTCACAATTGCCATAATACATAGTACAACTCCTCTTACTTTTACTGCTAATTCTCATGTTCAGCCAAAGTTCTTCCTTGGGAATCTTAAGGATAATGTGTACTATTGATTTGATCATTTTATAGTGATTGGCATATATCATTATTATGATGATACTTGGTGTTTGCATGAGCTTCCTAGATGTTTCCAAGGGATGGTGTTACAATGGTACAATAGTTTAAATGTAACCACTCTTGCAAATTGAAGCATTTTCTCTAATGTTTTTAAGCATGCATTTGAACATGCTGATGATTGGGATAATACCCTCTAATAATTGCACCATTTTCATCAAGGGTCATCTAAGTTATTGATACAATTTGACATTTACTTCCAAAGTCTATTGCTTCATGTGGAGCCAAATATGTAAGAGTAGATTAAGTTGAGAATGTTGTAATTAACATTTCGTCAAGATTTTGTAAAACTTATGCATACATTTGCTACACATACTCTTAATGATGCTTTTCGACTAACACAATATTATGAGATATCGCCATTTCCACTTATTATTGCATGTCCTTTGACTCCATTGTTTATGGGAGATGGTTTTGTTCTAATGGAGGTTGATGCAATTACTACTTATGTTTAAAGACAAAGGCGAGGATATGGTCATAGTTGTGATATCTATTATTTGATGTGTGGTGAGGTTAGCTATACATACTAGTATTATCAATGTTTTCTAGATTAGCATCCTTCATTTTTTAGGTGGAGGCCTTGGCATTAATAATGTGATATTGATATTATTGTAATGGAAGGTCTTGACATAGAAATTCTTCTAAGAAATAAGGAATCATACAAGTAATGGAGGGTTTTTACACAAATAAATTAGTGATTCTTCCATCCTTCTTGCAAGACTACCATCAAGGGATTCACTTGGCATCAGTTTATATAGTGTTTATTTTCTAAGCTCATTTTTATAATAAAAGGTCTTCTATTATTCTCTTTATGTTGGTTGATATAGACTTGAGTTTATCTTCTATTGCTCACTTATTGTCACATGTTACTGTCTACAATTGCATCGTGTAGTAGAGCCAATCTTCATTCTTTATGGCAATAGTCATACACATACGTGTGTGTGGGATAAGATAAACCTAACTATGTGCATAGGTGATCTCAAGCTTGAACTTCAATTGTTGTAGATGGTACTTTTTTGACCTCATCTTTAGTATGGATTGGTTGTAGTACAATAATACCAAGTATGACTTTGAGGGTTTTCCCCCTTATCTCATACTTTTTTATATTTCTTTTATTCTTCTCACTTCTATTCCCTTTTATCCCTCTGCTTCCATCACTTTTGTTTTTCTATCACTTCCTATTTTATTTCCATCTTGCTCTTTTATTCCCTTTCTAAATCCTTCAAATGGCCTTTATATTGCAGTGGGATAAGATAAACCTAACTATGTGCACAGGTGATCTCAAGCTTGAACTTCGCCAATGGCACGGCTAGAAAATCCCTACACAGTGCCAGGCATGCAACAATCTTAAGAATATTCTCCCGCATGATAGAAACTGCAACTCTTGTCGAGCCTGCCTTATCCTAAACCTGGTGGTGACAAAAGAGCAAGATGGAAATAAAATAGAAAGTGATAGAAAAACAAGGTGACACGTTTAAAATGTTACGTTTTTTAAGTTTCACACGTTTTCTGGCAACTATGCATCCAGATATATCAGCATCAAAATCTTGAAAATGTCCTCTGGACATTGACGATATTCGATCTCAAGAAACTGCAACTCTTGTCGAGCCTGCCTTATCCTAAACTGAGCTCCTAGCCGTTTCCTCTTTCGGTCTTCCAAATCCTCCCATCTCTTCCGGCCATTAGCCGGGCAGGAGAATATTCTTAAGATTGTTGCATGCCTGGCACTGTGCAGGGATTTTCTAGCCGTGCCATTGGCCAATCTTGGTAATACTATACCCTCACAGATTCCTTGCAGAAGTACCAGATATGAAGATTGTCTACTACCTTTGCAAACTAATCTGTCCAAGAGCTGGTGCATAATGATCTTTGCCGACCTTCTGGTTCTTAGTACAGAAAAGTGGAAGGGATGTGTGATTTGGTCACGTCAATCTTTTCCACGCTTGTCTCTCTTGACTCTCAAACTTTAAAGATGCCGCCTTCTCTACTAGACGTTCTAACCATCACGCCTGTATCCTTGAGGGCAGACGCTTGTGCTTGCAGGAACCAAGCCCCAAAGCATTGCAGGAATCTTTGATGCAAGAAGAGATGACGCGATCTGATCACCAATGGTTCCAATGAAGGTGTTTAGCTTGTCTTTGGTGAGGCCGGGAGTCAGTGGCAAGTCTTGCGCATTGTAAATGTTGGAGATCACAGCAAGAACAAGAAAAAACAGTGAGGCTCTTTCATTAAATTTCTTTTTCCAACTCTGAGCTTGTTTGCAGTCCTTTCACAGTAAAGATTATAAAAAGAGAGGAAAG